CCCACTCTGGGCTGTCCGGGCCCGGCTCTCGCAGCCTCTCCCCGTGCGAAAGCTCCTCCGGTCCCTGCCCCCTGTGGCCCTTCCCTGGACGCCCCCCAGTACACCCATGTCCACTGGAGTTGTTCCTGGGAGCCCAGCACCCGGACACAGCGCTCCAGGGGTGGCCTCGCCAGTGCCTCCTCGACACCCCTTGACCTGCGGAGGGTGCTCGTGATGCAGCCCAGGACATCGTCTGTGCCCCACGGACACGCTGAGCTCATGGTGATGTGGTGTCCACCAGGATCCCCGGGGCCTCGCCCGCAGGGCTCCTTGCCCTCCAGGTGGCCCCCAGAGTGTCCTGGTGCCGGGGGTTGCTCCTCCTCTGGGGCAGGGCTCTGCACGTCCCCCAGTTGAACCTCCTGAGGTTCCTGCTGCCCGTTTCTCTGGCCTGTCTGGGTCCCTCTGGATGGATGCACGACCCCCTGGTTTACCAGCCGCTTCTCCCAGTTTGGTGTCATCTGCAAACTGGCTGGGGGTGCTCTCTGTCCCATCGTCCAGGTCAGTAATGAGGACATCTGACAGGACTGGACCCAGTATTGCCCCCTGGGGCAAGCCACTGGCGACGTGCCTCCAGCCACTGCCCCACACTCTAGATCCACCAGCCGCTCCTCAATCCATCTCAACATCCGCTCATCCAGCCCCTGCATCGGCACCTCCTCTAGGAGGCTCTGGTGGGAGAAGCTGCCAAGGGCCTTCCCGAAGCCCGGGCAGATGCCATCCACTGCTCTCCCTGTGCCTGGCAGGCCAGTTGCGCCATCGCAGGTGGTGGTGAGCTTGGTCAAGCAGAACTTCCCTGGGATGAAGCTGTGCTGATGCCTCCCGATGGCTTCCTTGTTGTCCCTGCGCCTGCAAATGGTTCCCAGGACCAGCTGCTCCACCGCCTTCCCAGGAGGGAGCGGAGGGTGACCAGCCCCGAGCTCCCTGCGGCCTCCGTCGCGCCCCTCCCCAAGGCAGGAGGGACCCTTGCTCTCCCCTGGCCACCATCAGCCACGGCTT